GACAAAAAGTAATTCCGGCGTTATTCACTTGAGTCATGGGCATGAATAATATCATTTAATTATGCTTATACAAGGGTACTTTTGTGCATATGAATCAGCCAGAAATTGTGTGTGTATGTAGTGGGATTTTCATAAATAAATTTGCACTTAACAAATGAGCAACATAAGCAAAATGTTGCTAAGCGCAGCAACAGGCGGTGGCAAAATTGCAGTTTGGATTGAGTGGAGGGAAATGAGGGGAAAATCGGGGGATACAACAAGGAAGTTCGTAAAACAAAGCCAAGCTCAATGAAAAAACAGGGCAATGGCAGCCGCCAGACAAGAGCAAACAACAACAACAAATATACATTCATACACACAATATAACAGCCAGCAGAACGGCGGAATTAAATTTTAATTTTAATCGCCAAAAAAGAATAAACAGATGGAAGAATGAAAGAAAGAGACGGGCAGACGAAGAAACACAAGGAAGCGACTTATTCACACAAACCATACTCCATACTCCACACACCACACACCATATACACCCATGAACATAATGGGGATCGGCGTGCAGACAAATAAATTTCCAAGCAGAAGGCAAACGGCCGCTGTGCAGCCACTGAAAATGCAATCGCACAGCTGTGTCCAAAATAATAGGCCCCCCATTAGGCTGAAAATATTTTTTATTAATTCTTAACGAAAAACATGGATTGCTGCTGCTTGACGTAAAAACCACTTTAACAGATCAATAAAAAAATGTAAAAAGCAAAAGCTGATTTTGCATTAATGCAAGATTAAAGGTTAACAATTAGGAGGAACTCACGCTAGATATGAAAATTTATATTATGAAAAATATTTATCCAATTTTTAAAAGAATTCTAAATATATTTTAAATGATTTAAATAAAAATTAAATAAATTAATGTGAATAAATTTATATTTTAAAAATTTAGGTAATAGTCTAGAAGAGCGGCCTGAGCACCAAAAACCGCGAAAAAATTACCCTCGATGGACCGCGATTTCTTAGGAATTTACGTGCAGAAGATTATTTGCGGAAATGCATTGTTCTCTTGTAATTGCATTTCAAAGTTGCGTGTTTTGCTATAAAAACAAAGTAGGATTTTGAGGTGTTTTGTGTCATTTTGCTATAAAAAACATATGGGCTTTCCGTTTGTTGTCAAAATAATAAGCTTTCGAAAAAATTCGACAAAAATGTGAAATTGTTTTTATAGCAGGCCAGACCCCACAACCGCGCATTAATATCCTCGACGGACCGTGATTCCTTAAGAGCTTGGGCGACCATGGATGACCAACATATACATTTTTAAGATGAATCTTAAGAAATCGCAATCCGAGGAGGATCAACCTTAGTCTTTATCAAAGCCAATTACGAGAGTTTTTAGTTTAGTACCTCCTTATACTTGTAACTCATTTGTAATAGTAAATAAAATGCTATATTAAACTATGGTTAATGATTGGACAGTAAATATTTATTTATAAAAAATGCTGGTTAGTGGTACAGATTAAGCCTATTCCTTTTCATTGTCCGTATCGGTGGATTCCTGAAATTTAAGATAGTTAATTGTTAGTATTTAAAAAGAGATGGAAAATGCTAAAAAAGCGCCGGAGGCAAAAAAATTAAAAAAAAAAAAATCGCGCGATTTTTTTTTTAATTTTTTTGCCTCCGGCGCTTTTTTAGCATTTCCCATCTCTTTTTAAATACTAACAATTAACTACGCGATTTTTTTTTTTTAATTTTTTTGCCTCGCGCGATTTTTTTTTTTAAATTTTTTTGCCTCCGGCGCTTTTTTAGCATTTCCCATCTCTTTTTAAATACTAACATCGCGTTCAGGATTAAACAATTCGCCCATTGCTGAGAAAATTGCATGGAATCTTGAGGTGTGGTTTGGGTGCCTTTTCAAAAAAGTGAATCGCGCTAGGTACCCTTGGTAGTGCTCCGTTTTCCGTTTACCTTAAAGGAGCATTGAACTTTTCTTAATTTCCGTTTCTGTTGATGATTACTTATCATCCTGCGGCACCTCCAAAATGGCGTACTAATCGGTCTCTTCGCATTGAAAGACAATGTTGCGGGCTTACTGCAGTTGGGACAGTCCTTGCTCTTTAGAACAACTCCATGTCTCTGCAGAAATGAAAACACTTCTTCTTCGTCCATGGCAAGAAAGTCTTTATAAGAAATAGTGCACCCGTTGCAGGAATCCATAGTAAACAAAAATCAAAAGTGCAATTTCTGATTAAGCAACAAAAGCCTACTTGTTTTTTATAGCAAACCCATAAATTCCTAGAAAATGCTACATTGTTTTTATAGCAAAATGACACAAAACACCTCAAAATCCTACTTTGTTTTTATAGCAAAACACGCAACTTTGAAATGCAATTACAAGAGAACCATGCATTTCCGCAAATAATCTTCTGCACGTAAATTCTAAAGAAATCGCGGTCCATCGAGGGTAATTTTTTCGCGGTTTTTGGTGCTCAGGCCGCTCTTCTAGACTATTACCAAAATTTAAATTCAAAACAACAGGTGCAATAATTTGAATACCTACGTCTGAAAGAAACTGAAAACTGAACCTAAAAACAGTGATAATGTGAGTAATCAACGGGCTCAACCTTGAACACTAAATTCCTGGCCGCGCCTGTACACGCATCGTGGAATTTAATAAACACCGAACAGAACAAAACAGAACAGACACGGCCATATGCATGAAGGCTGCGGATTTGTACATAAATCCCTGCGAGACGATCGCCAGAACCGCAGCAACAACAACTGATCGACAACAACAACATCTACGGGACAAAAACAACCGCAGAACAACAACAGGAACAACAACATGGGGAACAGGTCGCGGACTCAGGTAAACGGCAGGAAGTATGGGAGTGCGAGCGAGATGGCATCGATAAGGCACACTGACGCTGATAAATTTATCGATAAAAGGGGCAGGCAGGTAGTGTAGTTGGAAAAAGGCCTGAAAATTCTGGAAAAACGGCGAGGGGAAATGATGCTGAGGGGGCGCGACAACGAAAACAACAAACCAAAAATCCAGAAAAACCGAAAAGCAACAACAAAACCCTAACAACTGTAAAAAATGCAACAAGAAGAACCTGCTTGGAAAGCAGCAAGCGACAACAACAGCCACAACGAAAGAGGGAGAAGGCAACAAGAACACGAAAAACAACGCGACAAAGTAATGGAAAACGAGAAGGGAAGTTAAGTAAGTACGGCAAGTCAAAATTTATATACCCTTTAAGTGATAACAAACCATTTTGCATTCGTTGGTAAACCTGAAAATTTTAGGGATTTCGAAAACTTAAGAAACATGGAATTAAATACGAAATCCTCATTTAATAACTTCTATCTTAATTCGTAATAACCTTTGAAAGGGTATTAAAATTGTTAGAGGCAAAGTCTAAAATTAAACAGGCGAGAGCGAGATGCACAGAAGGAGTGGGAGCGAGAGAGCGGGCAAGAGAATGCAACGTATGCAGTTATTTATGTAGGCGCAGCCTGGTTTTTGTTGCTGCTATTTTGGAGGCCCGCAGATGAAAAAGTCGGAAAATCGTGTAGAAAATCAAATTGCAAAGGCAAACTCCACTTGGACATTATGTTGTTGTTATTATCGTCGTTTTTTGTTGTCGCTGCCGCTGCAGTCGTGACGTCAGGGCGCATGCGTTAAACCGAATGCCGCTTTTCTATTTTGCTGTCATCTCAATGATGTTATGGCGCTGTATCCTTTCAACCTCAAGTCAAGGGGTATTCCCATTCCGTCGCAGTGTTGGTAACACTACTTTTTTGTGAAGAGCTTTCCCCTCAAGTTTTCATTTCCCTAAACACTTTGAACTTGATGGTTGGGAATAGAAAGGACGTATCGGTAACTAGTCATCTGTTAATCCAACTGGAAAAAGGGTATCCCAGAAATTCAATTAAGTGGGCTTAAAAACTGTATACCCTTCATAGGGAGGGTATTATGATATCGACACTAGGTTGGAAACTCATACCATGTTTAGCTAAACCCTGCTTATAAAAACAAAAAAATAGTTTTATCAACAAACAAAAACCAACCTAAAACAATAAATGCTGATAAACAACTTAAAACCGCAAAATATTAAAAAGCACCTAAGATTACAACATTGTTTAATTTAAGTGAACCAGCTGACGATGAAATCACTTTACCGATTCTGGATTTCTTAATAGGTGCATGAATGATTTTATACAAGGGTACCTAAGGTCCGGTTCTGAAATAGAACCCTAACGCCCCTCTGGTTGCTTTTGTATTTTTACAATTTGTTTTTGTTTTGGGGAAAAACGCACACAAAATTTATGCGGCGTTGCGTTCTGGAGTTCTGAGCTCTCAGTTCGGAAACAAGAGGATTTCGGTGGTGCGGTGGTGGTGGTGGTGCACCCAGAAGGGGGTGTTTTTCCCAGCTGGGGGTTGGTTGTTGTTGGAGACGCCATGCGGAGGGAAATCTGAGAGGTGGGGGCTGAGAAGGAAGGCAGTGACAAAATGCGCACACAAATATGAACGGCAATCTTGCATTGCGACGTAGTAGCGATTAACGAAACCAAAAAAAGAAAACACACAAGGAAAACAATTATAAATTGCGTTATAATTTGTGATATGGAAGCGGTGAGAATGTTTATCAGCCATTTGGGGTTCAATAGACCCCGACAGGCGCGGCAATGCAACGCAAATCCCAATTCTAAATACGAAATACAGAGAAATTTCGCAAGAGTGAAGTAATTTAATTTAATATTCTGAAATATTAAAGGATTCCAAATATAATAAATCCTATCTTAAAAGTGAATAGCTTTGTTTTAAATGGATCTCCCTTATGGAGCGTGGACTGTAGAACAATAAACACAGTCTGTGATGGACATAGACGCTAATTGAGCTGTCGAAAAAAATGGGTTAACGACATGGCCAGATATCGGGGAGTACATGTATAGGTGTGACTGATAGGGCCGATCTGAAATGCATTTACGATTACTAGATGATTACTTACCGTTTCACCATTTTGTTGGTTACCCCCGAATTGTTTTCCTGCTGAGTGCCAATATCAACGGATCTGTTATAATCCAGTTTTGATGTAAAGATTTTAATGCGACGGAAATTAATTTTGCCGATCTTTTTGTAAAACCTTTAAAAAATCGATATGGATATTATGGATTAATTTGAATGGCTTTTCAACGCGACTTTTACTTCCTAGAAGGCCAGAGGTATTTTAAAAGCGATGGCGGCGCAGCAGGAGTCCAATTGGAAAACAAGAACAAGACAAGAGGAATTTCGGGGGGTAGATAATTATATTTATAATTCACATTGCAGTCGAGTTCTGCTTTTTTTTTGTTTTCTGCTACTGCGACGCCAACGCAAGGTTTTATTTTATTATTTTTTTCGGTAATAGTCTAGAAGAGCGGCCTGAGCACCAAAAACCGCGAAAAAATTACCCTCGATGGACCGCGATTTCTTAGGAATTTACGTGCAGAAGATTATTTGCGGAAATGCATGGTTCTCTTGTAATTGCATTTCAAAGTTGCGTGTTTTGCTATAAAAACAAAGTAGGATTTTGAGGTGTTTTGTGTCATTTTGCTATAAAAACAATGTAGCATTTTCTAGGAATTTATGGGTTTGCTATAAAAAACAAGTAGGCTTTTGTTGCTTAATCAGAAATGGCACTTTTGATTTTTGTTTACTATGGATTCCTGCAACGGGTGCACTATTTCTTATAAAGACTTTCTTGCCATGGACGAAGAAGAAGTGTTTGCATTTCTGCAGAGACATGGAGTTGTTCTAAAGAGCAAGGACTGTCCCAACTGCAGTAAGCCCGCAACATTGTCTTTCAATGCGAAGAGACCGATTAGTACGCCATTTTGGAGGTGCCGCAGGATGATAAGTAATCATCAACAGAAACGAAAATTAAGAAAAGTTCAATGCTCCTTTAAGGTAACAATTGTTTAATTTAAAAAAAATATTGCTTTAAATTATATTTGTAAGGAATCCGCCATCAAACGGACATTCTTCAGCAAGTCCCACGTTGGCATTGAACAGGCCTGTAATTTTGTGGTTTGGGAGATGAAGGGTTCAACAATCTCATTCCTTCGGGAAGAACTAGGCTGGTCCCAACAGACGGTGGTTGATTGGAGTAATTTTCTTCGGGAAATTTATCTTAGCTGGACGAAGAAGAACGCAAAACAAATAATAGGTGGAGACGGTTTAACCGTCGAAATTGACGAAACCAAAATTGGCCGGCGCAAGTATAATTGCAATTTTCTCAGCAATGGGCGAATTGTTTAATCCTGAACGCGATGTTAGTATTTAAAAAGAGATGGGAAATGCTAAAAAAGCGCCGGAGGCAAAAAAATTAAAAAAAAAATCGCGCGATTTTTTTTTTTAATTTTTTTGCCTCCGGCGCTTTTTTAGCATTTCCCATCTCTTTTTAAATACTAACAATTAACTATCTTAAATTTCAGGAATCCACCGATACGGACAATGAAAAAGAATAGGCTTAATCTGTACCACTAACCAGCATTTTTTATAAATAAATATTTACTGTCCAATCATTAACCATAGTTTTATATAGCATTTTATTTACTATTACAAATAAGTTACAAGTATAAGGAGGTACTGATAAAGACTAAGGTTGATCCTCCTCGGATTGCGATTTCTTAAGACACATCTTAAAAATGTATATGTTGGTCATCCATGGTCGCCCAAGCTCTTAAGGAATCACGGTCCATCGAGGATATTAATTCGCGGTTGTGGGGTCTGGCATGCTATAAAAACAATTTCACATTTTTGTCGAATTTTTTCGAACGCTTATTATTTTGACAACAAACGGAAAGCCCATATGTTTTTTATAGCAAAATGACACAAAACACCTCAAAATCCTAGAAAATCCTACTTTGTTTTTATAGCAAAACACGCAACTTTGAAATGCAATTACAAGAGAACAATGCATTTCCGCAAATAATCTTCTGCACGTAAATTCCTAAGAAATCGCGGTCCATCGAGGGTAATTTTTTCGCGGTTTTTGGTGCTCAGGCCGCTCTTCTAGACTATTACCTTTTTTTCTTTTTGCTGGCTGCACGAAAAATCACTTTATTGATCCGCTTTCGCCGTAATTATATTCACGTTTCTGCAGTGGAAAACGGCGGAGATTAGCACGCAATATGAATGCACTTTAGATTTTTCCCTTTCCCACTTCTCGCCCCTCCCCCGCCGCCTTTCCGCTTTTCCACTTTCTTTGCGGCGCTTAGTCACTTCGCACACTCACACACTCTCGAAAATCACACTCCGATTTGCATTTTTACCTCTCGAAGGCGATTTACTCAGCAATCTGCTTCGGATTTTATTTATTTTGCTTTCGCACTGGCTCATCCGCACACAGAATCTTAGGGATTTTCCTGTGTTATTTTCCGATACACATAAACAAAGCTCGCGGCGTTTGGCTTTTCCGCATCTCGCGCGCGCTTTCGGTTTAAATCGCTTCTGTTTCGATCGCCTGGCGCCTCTGGATCGCGACTCTTTCAAATCGAAGGCAGTGCCTGCCGTTCCCTGTGTTTTGTTGTTAATTGTCAGCGATAAAACAGCGTGGACAACAACAAATACGGTGCGTGCTGGTGCGGCGGTGGTTTTTGTTCGGTTCGTTGGAGGCAAGTGTGACTGTAGCCGAAAGATTCGTGGTGGGCGGCAGTTGCCAGATGAAAATTCAGCCTTCCCCCTAAAAAATCTCAAACAGTCGATATCTCGCCCTAAAAAATCCCTCATTCGATATTCCACAACGATTGTGTTTCGTTCCGATTGGCAATTGTCAGCTCACAAATGTTTCCATAGAGGGCGCCCGTTTCCTACACCAGTTTCCCCTTTCCCCCAATTTGGCGCTCCTAAATGTTAGATTTCTGGTTCTTCTAACAGCAATGTTAATGTTGTATCTTAACAATGTTGTATCTTAATATTATGTTAAATTGACTGTAGCCGAAAGTATAACCGTTACGTATGCGCGATTTTACGGCTGGCCGTGTGACCAAAGTGTCAGCAACGTAGGTGTGAGTAACGTAACGCCCAACCTAGGTTCCCAACTCTACTAAATGTAGCGCCGACTCAAACCATTGGGCTGACTAACAGAGCTCTGTTAACTTAAGCGCTTAAATTAAAACGAGCTAAAAATATTTAAGATGGAAAATAGTTTAGTTTTTTCTTTTACCCCAGGTAGAACCTCGTTTTTTCACATAAGTATACATTTGAGAATGTATGTAATTTTCGGGTTTTGAATGGAAAAAATCTTAATCTTAATTAAAGGACTCGACAAAAACCACCCAATACTAACTCGAGTTTTGAAGGATCTTCTGTGACGTACGAATTCACCAAGGATGTTCCAATATAATGAAATATTTCCACAAAATAAATATTAAAAACCCCGACTTGTTGAACTACGAATTAACAGTGTATTTCTTGCAATGCCTACTGCATCACACGGTCGGTTTTCGGTGGCCAACCCAGCTTATCGACTATAGATCTTACAGCTATTTGTAATTATTATAATGGTGTACACGATACATGTTCAGATCGGATCGGTGGTGTTCAGAACTCGCCGCTCTTGCCGTCGCAGGCCACGATTTTGACCTTGTCCACCTTGACGAACTCGTGGACCTCGCGGAACTCCACATCGTTGAGCATGAGGGTCCAGACGTTGTCGCAGAAGCGGTAGGTGTTCAGTTTTCCAGCCTTGAAGGTGACGCGGGCCTTGACCCGTTGATTTAGGGCGTTGTTGATGCTCTTGTCGAACTGCAGCAGCACCTTGAAGGCCAATCCGGGCGTGATCTGTCCGTACTGCAAGTTGGAATCGGGAGGATTACATTGCCTGCTGTTCAGCCCACAAGCTGCGGCCATTTTGGGGCCCCTTACTCACCTGAATCAGCTCGTCGAGGCTCTCCTGCAAGGTGTTGCCCAGCGTGGTGTTGCGGTACAGTTGGTAGGACATGGCGACACCGTTTATTCCGTATTATCTCTGCTTTTTCCGGGAATTTTCCGTTCAAGTCTTGTCCAGTAGGTAAAAAAATTTAATGCGAAGCAACTAGGGATGTCAAAAATATATCAATGTATCGATATTTTTTGCAAAAAAAATATATTTATATCGTGATATTTATTTAGCCAAATATCACAATATCGATGTTTTTTGGCGATATATTATATATAATATTGATATTTTTTTTAAAGAATATATATCAGCGATACGATATTTTTAAAATATTTGACATCCCTATTACGCCCCCCAACGGGGGTTTGGAAATTAAAAGGGGAAAAAGGATGAATAAATAAGTTATTCTAATAAATTATAATATTTAGAATAACCAATTCTATCAGTAATTTGTGATATTTATTTTCTGCTGCCTTATTGTCTGGCTAGAAGTAGCCATTAGAATATAGCTTGCACTATAAGTAATCAATAATTTTAAAGGTTTTTAATTTATTTCTAGTAAGATGAGCTGAAAATTATATATTTTGTAATTTTTGGATAATATTTGTTGAACTCCTTCCCCCACAACCAAATCAACATTTTTTTTTCTTTTCAGGTAAAATAAACCTATTTGATGACTAATAATTATTATTATAATTATAATTATAATCTGTTCTACATTCAAATAAACAACAAATTTCTTATGATCCCCATTTGCCTTATTAAAATTCAAAACAGTTCAACTTTTGCGCCAAAAAACTCGAACAAAACAGGTCCACAGGGTGATTCATCACATATTTAAGAAAATGAAATATATCGATGATAAATTGACAGCTGCCAGATGGCTTAAGCTGGTCACCCTAATACCCTCTGCACACAGCCGCTTGAAATTGCAACAGCAAACTGTGTTTCCACAGAGATTGATGCGCCTACAGAATTGCTTAAAACGACTAGAAATGCGTATAATGTTTTGGGGTCTTGCCAAGAAAGAAATATGCTAGATGTTGGTCATTCCCTAAAAAAATTAAATAATTTTCAGAGTTCCGTGCCAAAAACAAAATACGCGCACTCTGGCCGATGAAATAAAATGGTTGGAATTGGAATCCAACGAACAATCCCAACGTTGTCAAAATGTAAATGTCACCCAGAAGTGACTCCGGGAAGTGTCGCCGAAGTAACGCCTGGAAGTGACTTCGGCGATACTTCTGAAAGTCACTCAGAAGTGACTTAAGTGACTTTGCAGTGCAATTGATTTCCTTTCCTGTGCACAGGCTATAACAGCTGTTCATTTTATTAGTACATTATTGCTGTATTTTATTGTTAACATAAATCACTAACGATCAAATTTAATTTTTTAAATTTAATTATCAATAGTTACGTGAACACAAAATATCAGTCACAAAATGTGCCACTACGGGGCGCTACAAATTCTCCGGCAGGTATAAGGAAACCGATATTATAAAAATAATGAAGAAATATAAAAGAAATGTAAAAAAAAACCTCAAAATATAACATCTTAGAAATACAGTCAATATTACAAGTTATATTTATCACTGCTTCATGACTCCAGATATATTATCAGTTAACAAGACTTTATATATCCACAGGGGCTTTCACATCGCCGTGAACTGGACTTCTTTCTAAACTAGGATATTTTACCGTTTCATTTTTACTATCAGGTTCCCCATTTAAAGGCTCCATTTTGATATATTCTGGGATTTTTTCCAAATCATTTTCGGTACCTTTATCGGTTTCCGCTTTTTCCATATCTTGTTTCTTGCTGGCCACCAATGCCCGGGCTTTCTCCTTGGCCTGGGCTATCAGCTCCCTGTACTTGGGCAGCCTCTTCTCAAAGATCTCGTTGGACTTCTTCACAGACGTCTTGACCAATCCATCTTCCGGAAAACAGCGCAATGCATTCTGGAACATCTTTCGCACCGAGCCCACGAAGCCGTCAAGGCTCTCGAAATTATCGGAGTCCAAGCGATCCTGGAGGACCTTCCAATCCAGTTTCTCTTCGCGATCATGGTCGTAGTCCGAATTCTGGGAATACCTTCGCCAGTACTCCGCCCGATTGAAGGCCCATGTGAACTGTTTGCGTTTTCGCTTGACCATTGACTTCAGCAGATGATCGCAATGGCTTTTTTCGATCAGCCGATCCAGAGATTTATAACAGATGACGACAGGTGGTTTGGGTTTAGGCGGTGATGGAGGAGCTTCAGCTGGTGGTGGAGATGGAGATGGCGTCTTTGGCAATGGCATATAGATGGGCTCGACGGGAGCAGTAGTCAATGGAGGTGGCAGGACAATTGGCCGGTGGATCATGGGAGGACTAGCCCGTTTTTTTGGCGGCAATGTTAAATGATTTCCCATAGGCAGCTCCCAGGGATTATTTAGTGGAGTTGGTAACCAAGGATTAACCAAGGAACCGGGTATATAGTTTGGGATCAGATTGGGCGGCACGAAGTTTCGAAAGGGTGTTTGAACCGGAGCTGCGCTCGAAACGGGCGTAGTAAAATGTCTGGAAGATCGACCCAAAGGCCAGTGAACGGGATAATGAGTGGGAGGAGCTCGGGGAGATTCCACCGAAGGTGCGGGCGAAGAGTCCATTCCCGTGTCGGCAGCCCTTCTCTTGCGCTTCTCCGTCTTGGGCTTCAGTTCCACCTCCTTGCTCAGATCAATCGAGGCCAGTCGGCTGTAGAAGAGGTTCCGCAGCTCCTTGCCCGCCTCATGAACCGGGGTGCCCTCCAGATTGTAGAGCATACAGTTCTCGAAGATCAGCTCAAAGTCATCCAGGGCCTCGTCCGCCTGCCAGTAGTAGTTGTTGTGCAATCGCTTCTTGATCGTACTCAAGTCCATCGGGTGCTTGATCAGCGTGTGGTAATCGGGCACGCCCAAGGTCACGGCATCCACGGGATGGCGGAAGTGATACGAACAGCGACTCCGCCAGACGCAGCTCAGCACGGACTTGAGATCCTCCAGAACGTTGGTCCGGCGACCAGGACGATTTGGCGGCGGGATGACCGGCGGCTGGACGATCCCATTCACCGGCTGGAGATCCGGCTCGTTGCGCGGCGGAGGTTGCGGCTTCTCCAGCTTCACAGCGTCCATTAATCTGAATATCTGCTCAAAGTAAAGGAAATATTAAAAACTTGTTTAGACCTTCAAGCTAAATTCTTACTTTTTGTATAACCGATAATTCTCCGATCCTTTTAGCTCGGAGTCCCGGCGTATACTAAGCTCGTTTGTTATGATTTCGAAGCTATACGATTTGACGTAAGATTCTATGGTACATAGTTTAGCATTTGAAGTGTCAAGGTTTTATAGGGCAAGCAAGTCATAATCTCAATCAAATGTAACCTTGTTTTTTATTTTTAAATTTTATACAGACAAGATGAACCGATAATACTTGGAATGAAATTATTGATTCACTAGATTTTAGTCTTTGCGAAACCTTCTCACAATGCAGCTGCATTCCGGATTATTCAAAATGAGCACATGGATTTTAATACTGCTCTTCATAAGTGACTTACACATTATTGAAATATCTGCCCATAAAGGTGAGTGTACGTTTTACAAATATTGTTCAGATCGTAAGGAGATTATTTTTACGTGCTTTTAGGTAGATTTTACAGGATTCATATAGTAAGTGGTACTCCAGCTCCTCCCCGAAAGTTTCCCATGGCAGCTCGACTTGGCCATCACAGCTCTACTAAGAACCAAACCATGTGGTTCTGTGGAGGAACGTTGCTAAGTAACCAAGTCGTTTTAACAGCTGCTCACTGCTTTTATTCTGATGTGTAAGTACATAATATGTATATATACGAAAACAAGCTTTGATTTAATAATTACATTTTTGCAGCGGAACAGTGAATATTGTGCGTCTCGGAGAGCTAGTTTTCGATAGCAACACGGACGATGCCGAGCCGGAGGACTTTGAAGTTCTTGAAATTAAGGCCCACCCGGACTTCCGCTATCCAATTCTCTACAATGACATTGGGGTAGTTCGTTTGCGTAGACAAGTAACCTTTAGCCGTTACAAGCGGCCCGCCTGCCTGCCTTTGAATGACGGAAACCAGCAAGATGTCTTCACTGCCATAGGATGGGGTCAAAAGAAATTTATCGAGCTTGAGCCGTCCAAGGAACTGATGGAAGTGGAGCTGAGAAACTATAATCAGTCCTGCCGAAGGACCATGGAGGCGAATGAGGAGTTGCCCAACGGATATAATGCGGAGTCGCAGTTGTGCGTTGGTTCCCCGGGCCACGAGGACACTTGCAATGGGGACTCGGGAGGTCCTCTGCTGATTGCCCATACTGGAAATGGGTGCCAATATCAAGTCATGGGTATCACGTCGGTAGGAGTCGCTTGTGATACTCCGAACATTCCCAGCTTGTACACTAGGGTTCATTTTTACCGGGGTTGGATTTTAGGACAATTGGCATTACCATAAATAAATTTAAAAAATTTATTAATTCCCAGCTTATATACGAGAGTGCATTTTTACCGAAATTGGATTAGCCAAGAAATAAAATGAATTATATTGTACACACTTTCAAAAATAGTTGACTTTTTAATACTTATTTCCCGACTAGGACTTAGATCAAATACATGATTTCAATAATTGATTGCCCTTAAACCGGCTTTCTATATTTACGGAGTGTAAAATCCATCTTATCAGCAGTCTCTCAAATCTGATAAGTGGTTCCCTCAGAAAAGTTTTTCCCCAACAAAATATATAGATAAAGAAGCGGGATGAAATCACTGATTGAAATGAGAACCTAGAAATTAGTCTTTGCGAAATCTTCTATCAATTCAGTTGTAGCTTTAAAGAATATAGAATGAGCACAAATATTTTTTTACTAATTTTGCTAACTGGCTTTAGCTTTGTTGTAATATCTGCCCTTAAGGGTGAGTGTTCTGTTCTTATTTCAGTTACTGCAATATATAAGTATATATATTTTATAATATTTTAAAAATTTTGAAGATCCTCCTTCGATAATTGGCGGCGATCGAGCGAATCCGAGGGAGTACAAGCCGGCAGCTCGCCTTGGTCATCGTAACGCTACACTGAACGAAACAAAGTGGTTCTGCGGCGGCACTATAATCAGTGATCGAATGATTCTGACAGCTGCCCACTGTTTTTACTCAGATGTGTGAGTTTCTAGTCTTATATGAACTATTTAAAAATCATTTTATATGATAGTTACATTTCTCTAGAGGATCCGTAAACATTGTGCGCTTGGGAGAATTAGTTTTTGAGAGCGACAAGGACGATGCTGATCCGGAGGACTTTGAAGTTCTCGAACTTAAGGCCCATCCAGATTTTCGGTACCCCGTTCTCTACAACGACATTGGAATTGTCCGTTTGCGTGGGGAAATCAGGTACAACCGATACAAGTTGCCTGCATGCCTGCCTTTAGATAACGAAGACAGGTCCGATGCCTTCATTGCCATCGGATGGGGTCAGAAGGGATTTTCAATATATGAGTCCAGGGAACTGCGAAAGGTCCGCCTTCAAAACTATGGTTCCGTATGTGAGAGGACAACAGATGCAAACGACGATATTCCGGAAGGATACAAATCCGAGTCCCAGTTGTGCGTAGGATCTCCTGATCACAAGGACACCTGTAATGGAGACTCGGGAGGACCCTTGTTGATTCCCTTTCTTGGAGATGGATGCCAACATAAAATCATGGGAATCACTTCAGTAGGAATCGCATGTGATACTCCGAACATTCCCAGTTTGTACACAAGAGTTCATTTCTTTAAAGATTGGATTAAAATGGAAATTAACCGCGTTGACTTTCCAACAACTTAATTAAAATTAATACATTTGTAAAATTTCCTTTACAAATTCGAATATAAAATTCAACAACCTTTAAGTTCTCTTGTTTTTCGCTTTTTATTTGTTTTGTGTAGTTCCGCTAAGTGTGATTTCGTTTTTGTATTTTGTTTTACAATTATAATTTTACAATAGTCAACTAAATAAATAATAACAATTTATAAATATAATTTCTTTCATTCTTCCTCAATCATTACTCAAGATGTTTTTGTGTTTGACATAAATAATTTGTTCTTCTAGAGTTTAATAAACATTTTGGGCATAAGCAATAAATGATAAATCAGTAGCTGCTTTTGATTTGATGTTATTCGCCTGAAAAAGCAAATGTACTTTTAGAACGCATGGCTGCGTAGATCTGCCTTCTTGATTAACTTCATGATTAACTTAGTGGCTAAATATCAGCTTAGGTTACCTATTTATAAAAATAATTGGTAAGCCTAAAAATTGCAACGAAAACAAAACCTATCAAAAAACCAAGGGTCTATATGCAATAAATAAAAACTTAATGCTAACATCTGTAGATTGGGGTGTTTGCTATGTACAAAACAACACAAAATTGCGCCGCAGCGCTGCTGTGTAAGAAGCAAAAACGATCGCTTATTGTTAGAACTCTTCTTTGTAACTTGTTTTCCATTAACATCATCTTGCTGTTTTATTGTCTATTTCGAAAGTGTGGGAGTCGTGGTTGAGAGTCTGGTAAAGAATACAAAACAACAAACTCCAAAGCTGAGGCCCGACATCTAACACTAAACTCAATACTCGTATCGTATATGGATAGCTATATATCTCCTCCTAGCTCCTTGTTTCCATTCCGCACTACTTGTGCCCGATGACGAGCGTGTAGTTGGCTGTGCTAACTGTCGACGACAACGCCGACAGCGCTGGTCATTTGGCCAGCTTGAGGATCTCGGAACGGGCCAGAGTTGCCCCTGTCGTTCCAGTCGAGGCCACCGTGGCTCCTCCAGCTCCAATATTTCCCGCGCCCATTGTGGCCACCGGTGGAGCCGGAGCAATGCGTATGGGCTTGGCTCGCTGCTGATTGAAGAGGCCACTCAATGTGGCCGCCGTGCTGGTGGTCAGCACCATGCTGGCCTGGCCACTTGTGTTGTTGGCCTGGCGCTTGCTCCGCGCGAGTCCATTTATTTTGTTGTTCGTTGAAGAGGGCGACTGCTGCTGCTGTTGCTGCTGCTGCTGATATTGCTGTTGTCCGGCAATTACTGCTGGTCCTGGAACAGCAGCTATCGTAGCTACTGATGATGATGAGGAGGATGTGGCTGCGGGTGTCGAGGAGGCTGAAATGTTATCCAACTCAGTCATTGCTTCTTGTATGGCCCGCTCGAGTTGCGAGTTCAGTTTGCGGCTCCTTTGTGGTCGCATGGTGGGTGTGTGTATGTGGTTGAGTTTTGGTTGGTTTCAGAGGTTGGGTTCGGATTCGGATTCGGGTTTGGTATTTTTCATTTTCAAGTGGGGTTGTTGTTGATGATGATGATGATTATGCATACACACACAGAGTTATACACGTTGGGGTTGGCAGGGCAGGGTTTAATTTTGGATTTGGTTCAGCGCATTTTAAAAAAAGAAACAAGAATATTAATTAGCAAATTAAAAGTCAAAATGTAAACAATGATTAAATTAATTAATAATGCATTTAAATGCCGATTTATCGCTTAATTGCTCAGCTAATAATGTCAAACGTCCAATTATCAAGATTTATCTACATTATTTAGACTTAATAAAGGCTGCTAAAATAAACTACAAAATTATCTAAAAAATAATAGCTACAAATAATTAAACAAAATATTTTTGTATTGCAAAATAAACTACAAAAAGGCAAAACTTGCTTTAATATTTGGTGTTTTATAAATCTGCAAAAATAAGCTACAAACAGAGGCAAAAAATGTATTACTTAAATATTGGGTAAAGTCTAGAAAAATTAAATTTGGGAAATAATACAAAATATTTATAAAAAATCTATTAAAAGAGGGATATAGCTACAGCTACAGTGCTGGTCTGGTCTTCACCTATAGCCTCAAATCACTGCCTGTTGGATTAACACACTGATCTTTCCCTAAACATTTCCCGCCCCTGATCGATGCTCACTTTCTCGTATCCTTCTGGGCCTTGTGATGCGCTTCCAGACCCTCGGAGAGGCTCTGCAGCGAGTTGACCGGAATCAGTTCGGAGGTGGAGCGCCCGCCGCCGCCGAACCACTGAACCCAGACGTGGTCAAACTGCTGCGACGGCGTGCACACTCCGTCGGGCATCTTGACAATCTTCCCGGGCCAGGCGGGATGCCCGCGGGCCGGACCCCAGATCAGTTCTCCAATGGCAAAGGAACGCGGCGGCATCAGGAAGGCGGCATTAGGACGTGCCGCTCCTCGCTGCGGGCGTCGCGAACGTTTCGTCGCCTTCTCAACTGTTGGTGGAACATCCAGGATAGGAGCAGCTGGAACCGATGAAATCAGCTGCGTTGTTGTGGGCGACTCTACGAAAGGCACACACACACACTCATAGAGACTAGGACTATGGCTTTTTGTTTTTTGGTTATCCCAGCACCGAGCAGAGGACAAAAACGGAGGGCAGAGATTACAAACTAAACAAAGGTGCAGGTGAAGATGCAGGCGATCATGCAGTGGCCAAATGGTTGGTGTACTTGTGGTGTTGGGTTAGCGTGTGGATGCAGTTAGTGCTGGTCAGCGATGGGTCCTTACCCTGGTAGTCAACGTTAGCTACTTTGTGGCTATGAAGGAAGGTGTTTGAATGGCTGTTGGAGATGTTTGGAGTGGCTTGCTGGCGGTGCACAAACTGGCGGTGACCCGCCATCGCATTGGTGGTTAGTGGTGCCGACGATGATGACGATGTTATGGACATGGATGCGGATGTAGAGTTGGTGTTAGACTGGTTGGCCAGTCGCATACCTTGTCCCTGCATCAGGCTCATCCCGTTTTCCGCCGCCGTCTGCGAGGTGTGGATGTGAATGCGTCTGATCTTTGGCTCCGAGTGCTTGTATATCCCACTTGGCTGGGTGAACAGATTGTTGTTGCAAATGTCTGATTGGTGGAGAGATTATATAATGAGTAGGATTTCTTCGCATTTAGTAGGAGCTGCACTTACTCCTCTCACAGTCCGTTGAAGACGGCGACTGTCGACTCTCGGCGCTTTGGGGAGAAACAGCTGCATCGGGCTCCGAACTGGATACGCATTGTACCTACAGAAAAACAAGGGTGTTAATAAAAACAAGAGAAAAGCTAAAGGGAGTGAGAGGGAGATGGATATATAACAATTTTGATTGCGCATAACTTTGAAATGAATGATCCGATTTGAAAAGTGCCTTCTACATTTCGATAGGTATGAATATACACAACAAAATTGCATTTATACTTCTCGGAAATCTTTAAAGACACATTTTAAAATCGTTTTTGGGCGATTGTGGGCGTTAGAGGGGGCGTGGCGCTCGGCTGAAATAAACTTGCGCTGCGTAGGAAACCCAAGAATATGTGTGGGAAATCCCAACCTTCTAGCTCTTGTAGTTTCCGAGATCTCAGCGCTCAAACTTACCATGTCACTGCCGCTGCTTCGATGACTGGGTGGTCGCTCCGGACTCCGTGGACTGCAGGTGGTGGTGTCCGGCGGACTGGCCGCCGTTCCCTGGCGATTCATCACCGTCTCCGTCATGTAGGTGGCCTGTGCCGGCTGCAAACTGATCTGCGGGGCTGGCTGCTGTTGGATCTGAATAGTCGTGGTAGTTGTGGGACTGGCCTGCACGAAGGAAGCACCTCCCTGCTGACCCGTAGGCATCACCAGACCCATGGGCGTGGAGTAAATCTGCCCGATGGGGCTCAACTGCCCGTTGGCCCCTACTAAGTACTGCTGTCCTCCGGCGCTCGGCGAGATGAAGGATGGCTTGTGGCTCTGTGGCGATGGCGTACGCAGCATCACGGGTCCCTGCGGCGTCATCAGGCTGGTGGTGGTGGGCATGTTCTGGATCTGCAGCAGCGTAGCATCCGGTCCCATCACCAAGCCAGCCGGCATGAGCAGCTGCTGTCCAATGAGATTCACCTGCTGCAGGATTTGCCCGTTCTGCAGGAGAAGCTGCTGCGTCTGCTGCGGCTGCGGAGGATTGGGTTTGTTCACCACAATGCCCTGGATGCCGGGACTCAGCTGGAATTGCTGTTGGAATTGCGGAGGAGCAGCCGCCGCCGCCGCTGCAGCTGCTGCTGCTGCCTGCTGGTGGAGCAAAGCCGGTGGTGCCTGGCTGGGGATGCTGGGCGAGATCTGTGGCGAAATGGTTTTGGCAGGCGATCCACTCAAAGGCGGCGGTGTATGGCAAATGGAGCTTTTGCGCTTCCGCGCCCTTCTCTTGTTATCCGGCGAACTGATGATGAGGGTTTGCGCTGGAGGCGGCTGCGGCATGGCCAGGATCTGCTCGGCCTGCTGCGCTGGCTGCTGCTGCTGCTGCTGCTGGACGATATACCCGCCATTGGGCAGCGTATTGAGTAGCACTGTCTGCGGTTGGTTTCCCGCTCCACCCGCACTCGCCTGATTAATCTGACCCGCCTGCGAGGTGATGATCTGGTGATGCAACAGCTTGGCTCCGCCGGAATTCAAGATCACAGTGCTGCTGCTGCTGCTGGAACTTTGCGCCGCCACTGGAGAAGGTTGACTGACGATGTAGCCACCTCCTGGCTGCGGATGCAACTCCGCCGGCTGCTGCTGCTGGATGATCACTCCTTGTCCCGGTTGACCTGGCCGATGATGCTGCTGCGTCGTCTGCTTGCTGGCCGTCGTCGGTATGACCAGCAGTTGTCCCGACGAGGTCATTATCAACTGGCCCCCACCTGCTCCACCCATTGCATTGGCCATCGATTGCAGCTGCGCCACCGTGGGATTCGCGGTGGTCACCGGTCGACCTGTTATCGTACTCGTTCCCGCCGAGGAGGTCACTATGCTCCTGGTCATGGTGGCACTGCTACTGGCTACTGGTAGTCCTCGCTGGTTGGGAATGATTTGCGTCTGCTGCTGACGCATCACTCGGACTTGGGCGGGCATAGTTACCGTTCCCGGAGGAGCAGAAAGATTCGCCTGATTCGATTGCGTGCGCATCTGCAGCATTTGCGGCTGCAGTTGGACATGCATCTGCGGCTTGGGCGAGGCGGAGGGCGTGCTCTTGGCCGAATCCAGCGATTCCGTTGGCGAGGAGAGACTCTGTCGCGGACTCTCGTGACTTGTGGATATGGCTCCCACCTGCTCGGGTCGCTTCTCTAGAGTCTCAATGGCACTACTCGATACCGGTGACTCCTGGGGAGCTGGCACCAGGGTTACGCTGGTGATCTGCGGTTTCTGGGGTCGCGCAAAGGCTGCTGTATCCACTTGGAGGCTTCTGTTTGCTGCTGGTGTTGCTGGAGAATTTGTGGCGGGTGCTGGATCGGTTTCCCATTTGCCAAAGATCGACAGGCGACGAATCTTCTGGCGCTGCAGTTGCTGTTGCTGCTGGGAGCTATGAACAATGGGTTCCTGGGGCAGAGCTCTTGCAGTGGAAGTTCCTGCCGCCGCCGCCGTTTTCGATGCATCCAAACCAACTCCCAGGCTGTTGTGCAGCAGAGCTGTTTGCTGTTGCAGATAGCCAGCCGGGTCGTCCTTGAAGTTGGGATGCTGCTGCTGCTGTTGGATGATACTGTTTGCTCCTCCGGGCGGCGCGTTGGCTGGCTGCTTTATCACATGTCCCCCAGCTGAACGCTTGGGGAGATTGCCGCCCAATGCTAATGCTTGACTAGTTGGCATCGCATTCGTAAGCGGTAGCGGGGGCGTTGGAGCGGGCGTGGGCGTGGTCGTCGTCCTGACCGAGGCAGGTAATTTGTTATTGCCGTATTTGTGGCAATCAGCGTCTGCAAATGGAGCAACAAATTGAAAAGGCAAAGTCAGTGAAAGGTCAAGACATCCTTGAGTTGGCTTATGCAAAGCGCGTCGCGTCCTTAAAGTGCCCGCAACGTGTCCGCCCAAAAAGAAAAAACACCACCCACAAAAGGTCCTGCAAGCTGGGCAGCTTTTTCGGGGGAGCTGGAAAAAGGAAGAGCACCCGGAATCCCGAAATCACAACACACAAACGTGCGGCAAAAAAAAAGGTTTTACAACGTCAGTGGCTGTTTTTTTATTTTCAAGCGTAAGCATATAATGGTAGAATTATAATTAAAAAGCTTTACCTAAAAAAGGGATGCATCCCCCTCAACAAATAAAAATAAATACGCACATAACGAACAAAAGCAGCCACACAAAATTTAAATTCATTTAGCCAGGCCAAGGATTTTTCGATTTTTTGTTTTCGCAAATACTTGCCACACCCTCGCAGACCGCAGAGCCTGACCAACTTTTGCACCACCTCCTCCAAAAGCACCACCTCCTTACAAACCCCACCATTATCTGCGATGGCTCGCGAAAATTTCTAAATCGTGGAAAAGTTTTGCTTTGTGTGCGGGGTTTTTAATGCGACGCTGATTGGACTTTCCACCCGCCCGAGAATTGCAAGTGGTTGCTCCTGTCTACGTGATGGGGGTTTTCCCGGGGTTTCCCAGGGGGGCGGTGGTGCAAAATTGCCGGGGGCGTGGCTGGTAGGCGGTACGCAGTGGACGCGCTCGGTTAAACTTTTGCCATCAAGTCCCTTTTGTTTCAATTAACCTTTTCATTTTAAAGTTTTTAACAATGTTTGCCAAATGTTTGCCCAACTGCTGAGCTGTCTCCCTTCTTCACCTCGCCCCCTGCCACGCCTACTCTATCCCCATAAATGAATAAATGACTGAATGAATGAATGAAGGAATGAATGTGCGAGCTGCGAAACCCTTTTTCCCCCAAATTGGCAACAGTTTTGCAGTTGTTTTCCTTTTTCCTTGCACTCGGCGGGCAAATATCTCAAATGGAAATCAAATTGCTTTGAATTGCTGGAAGAAAAACCCTTTCAAAAACTCCGCCAGCCTGCGGCAGTTGCAGATGCGAGGGGACAGGTCGGAAAAGTGGAAAGTGCGGATGCTGAATTGGTGCGGTGTCAATAGAATAAAAGTTTTGCAACTGCTTCCCGGATGATTGCAAAAGGGAATCCAATACAAATATTCTACTAGCAGGAGCACGAATTATTTATACTCTAAGTCAAATAAATAGATTTAAACAGTATCATTGAAAACTAGGGAAATTTTTGTTGTAGAAAGGAAAGAATGTCATACCGCGATTAATTCTTTATTTAATTCTTAATCAACTGGCATTGAAATCTAAAAACTTTAATATTTGAAAAAACAAATTCTAGAATCTCTCATAAGAAGTTTTACAGAATGTCAAAAATTAATATAAATTTACTTTTATTCAAATAAGTACAACATTTTTGATTATAACGTATACAACCCACCAACCAAAAAAATTAAGCAATCTCGGATGCAAAGTTCCACACTTTCAGTGGGAAAAGTTTTGTATATCTTGCTAATTGGCTTCCTGAGTAGCACAAATCAACGCTGAACTTTTGCAGTTTTCCCTTTTTGTGTCACCTTCAAGAAGCTGTAGTTTCAAACCCAAGCCCAAACCATTCACATTCCCATCGATAAGCCATTCCCCAATGCGAGCTGTCCAAACAGCTTGGGGCGTGTAAATGTTTCCCAGCAGTCGGGGGTCTTTAATAAACATAACATTTATTTATCATGCTGCTCTGCCCGACTTAAAGCGCCTGCAGCTGTTGGTCGGGAAAATCGAGTGGAATGGGTGCTGTGGGTGGAGGATATGTCTTTGACTAACGCTCTGGTTTTTGTTTCGAACGCGTTAACTTCCTTTGACTGGTCACACAAAAGACAAAATCAAAACAAGGACTTGGAAGGAGACGAAAAACAGACGACAAACTGGTGGAAAGCATCCGAAATGCACTTCCTGCCAATGCTCAAACATCCCATCTCCCGTTTCCCATTTCCCATTTTCCCCCGAAACCACCTATATAGTATGCTGTTTTAAGCTTGTTGAACTCGCTGCTTTCGCTGGGTTTGTTTGCCAGCGATTTTATCCTTTTATTTCCTTGAACTCCCCACCCCGTTATCCTTGTGCACATCCATCTGTATCCCTCACTCGGCAGCTCCCCCTGTGTGTGTGTGCAGTTTCACTTTATCATTGTCTAGGCATCGTTTTTCACTTGGCAGCAGCCACAGTCAACATCGAGCACCTTTTCCATTGCATCTGTTTGCACAGCCACACACACACGATCATGTGTGCCAACAGGTGAGGTCACAATAGTAGGACTTCCAATCGAAAGATTGATTTTATAAGGATTAAGATGATTAAATTAATGTATTGAAGATTTCTTTAACATTTGATAGAATTTAAAGTGGAAATATAAATATAAATATATAAATATTTGAAGTTTGAAATTAGTTACATTAGACTTTAATATAATTTTGTTATTATATTAGAATGTTTTTAAGTAGGAAATAATGCAAAACAGTAAAATTAAAATATAGAATGTATTATTTTTTCCATATTATCTACCAATTATGCTAAAGAATTTAACATCCTTAAATCCAAATAGCTTGCAAATACCAAGAAACTTATACATCTTCTTAAAAAATCTTTAAGGACATTTTGCTGTCCCCAGCTGTGTGTGCACAAATGCGAAGGGTTGTGCGCCTGGGTGTTTGTGTGCAGTTCCTGCTGTGCTCCATTTTGGCATGGCTTTGCTTTTGCTTTGCTTAGGATTTTCCTTGGCCCAGCCTGCACTTTTCGCACGTATCTACACTAGTTTTCCTTTTGCCCTGACCTCACCTCCGGCTATATCCTGTCCACCACCCCCGCCCCTACCCCCTCTCACTTCTCACTGCCTGCGCTTGTGCATCCGTCGTCGTCTTCGTCTTGCTCGTCGTCAGTCGTTGTCGTCGTTTTTCTATATGCTTTTTTTTCTGACTTTCCTTTCTATTTTTGCAGTTGCGCAAAAATGCAGGCATCACATTTTTCCATAGCATACTTTTGAGCGCTGCAAATGTTCACCCGCAGGGGAGCTTTGACAGCCAGGGTTGCCATGGCGCCGATAAAACAGGGAAAACGTCCGTCATTCCCAGGGCTCTCAAATGAAATGGCCAATTATTAAAAAAGGCATTTCTTTGTGTGGCAACAAAAAGGCATTTGATTCATTAAAGAATTGCTCATTCTTAGTTTTACCACTTTGTTATATTTAAATACTTTTTTTTAGCATTTTGACAACCCCGATTAGTGTTCCGCTTATCTGTGATTTTAAGGGTCTCTTTTTGGTATTGTCCCTGCACACAAATTGTTTTGTATATGTTTTACCACTCACCTTTGTTGGCCAATTCAAGTGTGGTTGTTGTTGCCGCCTGGGAAGGTGATGTTGCTGCTGCCGCTGCTGTTGGTGTTGCCGTTGTCGCCGTTCTGGCTGTCGATGTCATCAGCGTGGAGAACACATCGCCGACAGCTGCTGGCCCAGATACGGATACGGCTACCGATACATCTTTGACAGCCTGTTGTTGCTGCTGCTGCTGTAGATGTTGCTGTTGCAGCTGGGATTGCTGCTGCTGCTGTAGATGTTGCTGCTGCGGTTGTTGTGGCAACTGAAGCTGCTGAGATTCAAGAAATCGTCGCTGATGCAGGCAAGGTGTTGGCATTGACGTTGGCGCCTCCGTTGGCAACTTGAGCGGCATGTTGGGCACCTGCAATTAGCATAAGGCAACAAATTGGCATAATTAGTGTAAATGGTATGCAACAATCAAATTAGGAGCCGCCACTCGACAGAATCGTCGATAACGACGACCGCAGAACACCCATGAACCGCACACAATCCATGAAACCACCGCAAACGCTGTCAAATATGAAATCGAAAATTTAATCAGCGCACTTGGAATGCCAAACAGCGCACATAAAGGTCCACTCTAAGCACACACACACAACAGCATAGATGCACACACATTCGCGATGGGTGTGCGCCATTAATTTGCATGGGAAACGTGAGCAGCATTCGTTAAAAATTAGATAAGCGTAGCGCCATTTGGCGTCAGCTTTTCTATACCCTTTAATTAGGCGGTATTCCTGAGATAAAGCTTTTTAATTTTTATTGTAGCTAGCTATTATTAAGGATTGAATTCTTAAAGCTTTAAAATCTTAACAGCTTTTAACTAATCAACAAAAATTAAATATTTAGTAACCTATTTTTATAAAATTTAACAGATTCTCTTTAACAAGCATACCCTTTTGCAGAACAAAATCAAATTTCGTTAACATTATTCAAATTATTTCCACAAATTTTACTCCCCTCCCTTTGTGCAAATTGATGAGATGAGTCAAAACATTGAGTTGATTACTTAGGAATACGACCTTGGCCTGAGGCTTAGGCACCGTCCAATTAGCATTTTGTAAATGAATATCCAACGAAGCCCCGGCCGAGTACACATGTAATCCAATCAAATGCATCGCATTCATCATTATCGAGTTGAGCAGATCAAAAGACTGGCAAAAGTTGCCATGGCGACCGCAGGGTGTCCTGCCCCCCGCCTCCTTCTTCTCTTCCTTTTTGGCAGCAGGTGCGCATGGAATTTATGCAAATGAATCGCCGGCAAAGGTTTCGATTTGTAGGCTTCCCCCGCTGAACAGAATCATCCTCCTCCTGCGCCTTTATTAACCATGACGATGACGACTATATGGAGGATGAAATGGGGGAAGATTGGGAGACTGGCTGATTCGCTGCTGATGATGATGGACGACCCTTTTGGGACCGTGCACTTTTTGCCATTTCAATCAGTGGATGGCAATTGCTTCATTGGCCAGCCAAGCGCTGGAAACGTGTCGCAACCATTTTGGGTCAGCAATTTGTACAAAACACTCGGAACGGACCTTTTAGGATCCACATCCACTGTGAACATTCCACAGACCAAAGTTGGTTATTAAACATTAAAATGCTCCACTGCCCCTCTGTTTCACCAGCTCCCTGGCTTTTTATAGCAGCACAGCACTGACCGACAGACCGAGGAAAAGGAGCAATTGGAGAAGGCAATAAAGTGGCCCAAGTAACCTGACGATGGCAAAAGGCCCGGGGGATTCGGGGGAATCCAAGGGAATCCGGAATCCGGGTTGTATGTTCTGTAAGTTCAAGTGCTCAAATTAAACGAATCATTGGCAAGTAAGCAGGGGATAATGAAACGTGAAACTGAAGGCCATCTTTGGGGTAATTGCCTGAAGATTTACTCCTCTTTAAAGACTCTTAAGTTCGTAGTGTAAATACAACAAACTTCGAGAGCTTATTAATTCAATAAGCTAAAACCAATTTATTCATGGTGTAAGTACAAGCAAAGTTTATTAATTGACCACGCCCAGCAAGACGTAATAAATCCATTAGAGGACACCAAACCCATTCCTGCAGCCAAATGTCTGGGCTTTTGACTGCAACTTCGGTTGCTTTTTCTGTTGCTGCCACAAAGGCAGTGCTTCAAGTGCTGTTTTGTTGCAGCTTTGCTTGCCACTTAGTCAAAAGGCAGTCGGCGTCCGCCTTGCCGCAGAAAGCAAACATAATTTCAACTTTTGAAATGCAATAAAACCGCAGCTCATCCCCCGGACAACCCGATCTCATCCTCTTGGCATAGAGAAAGCAAACAAACAAACAAATGGATGTAGAACATTTTGCAATTGCCAACTGGGTCGTCGTCTGCCACGATGGCCACCATCCCATCCCATCCAGTCATCCAGTCAACCAGAGGGGGTTCTATCTGCCTGTCTGCCTGGCAAATTATGTACACATAATAAAATGGTAAAGACAAAAAAAATAACGAAATGCAACTGCAATCAAACGTTGCCCTGGCAACGGCAGGAGCAACCCATCCTCCTCGGTGGCCACGCAGGAAATTCAATGCGAGTTTCAAACATAATATCCAAATTTAATTGGCATTTAATGGAAAAATAATTAAGCAAAAGCTGGGCTGATGTTGCTGCTGCTTCTGTAGTTGTTGTTGACAGCAGCAGCAGCAACAACAGCGACTGCAACTTCAGTAGCAACACAAATATGATAAACGACTATTTGATTACTCCTTACAAGCAATTAATCAATTTACTACAATATTTTTGTATAGTAAAATGGACTTTAACTCATATCAATAGATAAAAAAACTAATGAATTTATCAGATTTTATTTATTTTTATCGTTTAGTTTTTATCTAATTCCTATAAACATTTATGATATTTTCCATACTAAAGTAGGTTAAAAGTCATTTTTTCTTTAGTTAATTTAAAGTAGGGTTAATGCTTTAAACTCGTATGAAAAATCAGGGTTTAAAGGTTCCCTTAAATTTAACAGGCCTACGAGAAAAAGGCCCTTAGTTGGTAAATAATTTTCCATTTTAATATTCCTCATTAAAGTGAAAAGACATTGGCGGGTTTCAATTTTTATGTCCTAACTTATGTAATAAATTTAGCAAGTAATTTATCATTTCTAATGGAAATTTATCCAATTTTAGGCCCTCAAGTACCAATCATTTATCTCCATCTTCTATCCTGTCACTGAAATGGAAGGTCCTCAAAAACACACATTCATTCTGGCCATCATTACGGGCCCTTTTATTCTATTCGGCAACTGTGGCCCAAACCGAGCATATCCCATTGGCCCAGCATAATGGCCACCAAAATGGTTATTAGCAGGACCAGCACCAAATCCAGCCAAGCGTTGAGGCGACGCGTTGACACTCCACTCCACTTCATCTCCACCTCCTCCATCAAAGTGTGCGGCTAATGAATACAGGGCATTTTACATACACGAGCGGAGCCATACGGATACATAATTGAAAATACGTATACGCTCTATATATATATATTTGCATTATTTACACAAACCGAAAAGTGTCCAATCCATGCAGGGAAACATGCATTTTGCATTTTTGACGTATTAACTGAGCTTATTCCGGGCTGAGCAGCGAAAACTGGGAAAACGGGGCGTGTGTGTAACACGCAACAAAATGCCAAACGAAAATGCCAGCGAAATACCAACAAACATTGCACTTTTGCATGCATAATTGTGAAAATTAAAACGAACTGTGTGCCAGACAGCCGGAGAGCGTTTTTGGGGGCGGTTCCGGGCGGCAGGTGGTTGATTCCACCGGAAGGGGTTGGGGGTGGTTTCAGCCCCAGCAGGGGGTGTTGCAAATGTCCTGGGTGGATGTAGGTGCACAGAAAAAAAATTCGATATAAAATATGGTCAATTCTACCTTATTTCATATTAATAGAAAACCGATATGATTAATGCCAAATTTATGAATTAATCATATCAGTTTGATATTTTATCATTTCATAAAAGTTATAAAACTACTGTTTTAAAATACCAAATATATTATTTTTTGAACAAACATTGTAAAATAAGATAAGCACCATCATTATTCATATCAAAATAATTTGAATAACGTGATCTTTAAGAAATATAAAATTTACCTGCACATATCACAAATATATTTTTTAAACAAATAATAAAAATAAAATAAGCAACTATTCATTCATATCAAAATGATATGAACAACTTGATCTTTTCAAAATATAAAATCGACCTGCACATATCAATGTGATCTATTTTTATTTTTTTCTGTGTGGGTGTCGGAGTGTCCAGGCAGCTTGGGCAATATGCAAACGAGCTGGGCGAGACTTATGCTGGCGGCAGGAGCAGGAGCAGGCGAAGGACAGGAGCTAGAGCGATTGCAGGTGCGAAGCATGCACAGGTGCACCGTCGGTGTTGGTTTTCATTAACGTCATAATGACTGTCGAGCGGACAGCTTTAATCCTTTGCGAGGGGGTGGCTCTGTCTGCGGTTCTCTTGGTACTCGGTACTCGGTTCTCGGTCCTCCCAGTTCTCGGATCCCAGCTCGGACATGGACATGGACACGGACCTCCTTCGGGCAATTGTGCGCGCACTCACAACAGGAACTTGCGGCGCTGCCGGATATGAGTAATCGCTCAGTCACGTCGCCAGCGCCCAGCGTTGCTGCAAAAGTCCTGCAGGACTGCAGCAAGATTTTCCTGTCAGCCCCTGAAACACCCTCCCTCCAATCCCCCTCTTTGAAACCCAGGGGCAGTGCATGACGTAACCCGCAACGGAAATCGCTCAACGGTCGCCGGGCGCGCGTGCAATTCTCTGGTTAATGCTCGATTCCCTGGTTAGTTTCTGGCTGGGAGTGGAATGTGCGGAAGGGCAGCCTGCAGGATGCACATTTAAACTAAATTGAAAAGCAGAAGCCTTGCAAGAACCTACACAAAATGTGGAAATTTAACTGCTGCGTTGGCAGGATTCGCTTTAGGCGGAAATTAAATCAAATCGAAACGACATTGCACTTCAGTGCGCACGAAATACAGTAGAAAGTATGTGACTGACTACTGAATGCCTTAAAAAAGTGATGAAAATTAAGACAATAAAAAAAGTAGGAAACATTTTTTTACAATATTACAATATAATATATAATATCACATATAATATTACAAATATTAAATATTACAAAATAGGGTATTAAATAAAATCCTAGATCAGCCACTCCTCTTTTAGTTATGGAAAAATGATTAATAGGTTAAGGCCTCGAATATGAAACCTTCAAACCAAATAGTTGGAATATGCAAACTTTCAAAAACGAATATCCTAAAGCGAACTCACAATAATTGTTTCCTAACTGCAAAAAAGGACTCAACCGACTGG